TCTTTCAGAATTACTGTATAATTGCTAAGAATCAATGCAGTTGCTATTCCAGAGCCCATTAAACCTCCACCAAGTATACCAACTTTCTTAACTTGTCTTGGCACCAGGCCTCTATCAGTAATTCCAGGAACCTATCCATTGATAAGAGATAAGTGTTTGCAAAAAAGGTAGAAAAGGTTAGGGGTAGCATCTGGGCTACCTTTAACAAAGGGCTGGAGCAATTGATACTTCGAAGAGTATGCTATGACATAACGTAAGAGTCATTATATTAAACATCACACCGTTTCTATCAATAATAAATTGTAAGTCACAAGTTTGAGCTTTGAGTTACAAGTCAGATAACCTAATCCAAAAATAAATCAATTAATCGAAGCACCATGAACATTATTGATGAGAAAGATGCAGGATTTAAAAAAAAAAAAAATTGTTTTGGTATCAGACTATACGATATGAAAAGAAAAAATACTTTATCTTAGCTACCAAATAGCTGAAATATAAAAATCTAAAATCATCTATCTAATCAACATTCAATTGCAGGATCTAATAACTGTATACTAGATATGGAAAAAACTGGTTTCTAATAGTAATTATCCTTCGAACCTTTGATGTTCCACGCTGAGCAAAGAAGATATGGATCAAGCTTTTGCAGTTGTCAGATTTGAGAACTTCTTGGAAAGCTTCAACCTCCTGCCAATATCAGGAGTACCATTTTGAAGTTGACTTTTAGCTGTAAACAAAAAGGTAAATGAAAAAGTATTCAAATGGTATTGGATAGGTAGAGACCTTCCACAGCCCTGCCTTAGGACCAGCAACAATACCCTCTTCAATAACATCAATACAAACCAAGGGGTGTTTGAGATTTGGAGCCTGCTTCTGAACCTGTGCTCTAGCAAAATTAAGTATTGCCCTTGCTTCCCCAAGGGACTCTATCTTATCAGTTTTATAAAGGCTAGCAACCCATGGTTTTCTTCGTGCCAAAATATCTAGTGCCCATCGACGTGCAGTGTTTACCAACTCATGAGATGAAACGACAGCATCAACAAGACCCAATCCAAGGGCCTCTTCACCTTTAACAGGCTTCGATGTCTATTTAAGGGAAAGATGAAGGGAAGAAGAAATCTATGTTAATGAACGGAGATATTAATACAGTAACCATATCAAATCATACCAAGACAGATTTAAGCAAAAAGCTGATCTAACCACATACCAACATCATTTCAAGGGACTTTGTGAGACCAACAAGTCGTGGAAGTCTCTGTGTTCCTGAGCCCATTTAGGAGCATGAGAACACTGATAGGATGAGAAGAAAAACCAGTTGCCCAAGGAACTAAACAGAATATAAATTATGTAATGGGAAACACAGCACATCACACAAACAACGGATAGTTTGCCTCAATAACCAATATTTCATATATATGAATAACCAGCATAAACATGCTATTCAAATGAAAGAGTCATACCTCCAAACCCAGGAATTATTCCAAGTTGAAGTTCAGGCAGGCCTAATTGTGAAGTAGGGGTTGATATCCGTGCATGACATACCTGAAAGAGAGACATTTTAAGATATTTTCTTTCAAGGTAACGAAATAAGAGATTGTCTGAAGAAGTTCTATAATACTCACCATTGCAATCTCTAAACCCCCACCTAAGGCAAGGCCATCAATGGCAGCAACTGATGGTTTTCTTGCAGCTGAAGTACAAAGAGTCAACATGGATCCATACAACTTTGAAATGCTTTCCAGTTTAAAAATAATTACAACCAAATAAGTACCTTCTAAAGTGTCAGTGAGAACCTCAACTGATATATAGCCAGGCTTTGGTTGCTGCACTGGAAAATACAACTAACCTTATCAATGTCAAGGTAGTGCAATATGAGAAAATTTAAAGAAAAAAAGCAGTATGCATACCATGTCCCCCTTGAATTCCACCAAAAGCCATAATATCAAAACCACCAGAAAATTTTCCATTTGCACCTGCTCAAAGGACAAAATACATTAGTATCTCAATCAACCAATTCCAGTTTTGGAAAATCACTAACAAAGACAATATCTTTGGGGTAATCTCCTTGAACTTACCTGTAACAACAATTGCCTTCACATCATCTCTTCGTAAGGCCTCATCATAACTCTCTTTTAAGCTTTGCAACACTGTAAGGAAGACACATAAAGGCAACAGATGAGATCAAATCATGAAAAGTTAATTTTAAAATACTAAAAAAAAAAAAAGATAACAACAATAATTTTCAGGTGACCAAAATCACGGCCTGGCAGATGGCAAATTTGGGCAAATATACCAAGCAAAAGCGGGAGACAAACTGCATGTATTGATTCAGAATTGCATTTGAACCCCAATCGTGCTTAACATTTCTTTTTGTTATCTTTTGACTAAAATCTAACACACCTTTTCTCTATTACCGAAGTATTAGTAGATAATTCTTGAGTTTTCCTACAGCTTTATCTATTGTTATCTAATTCAACAATAAAAAAGAACCATATTTTAAGTAGCATAGGTGAATTACTTTGGAGCAGACCTAAACACAAACACGTAAGACAAAACTAGTTCAACATTAATTGTTCCAAGTATCAGACCTCTAAAACTCTGATCTTTGTAAGAAATTGCATGTCAAGTTGACTAATACATCTGTTTTCCTCCGTAACTGAACGAAACCCATACGATTATTTTGCTAATGAACCAAAAGATTTAAACTTTTGCCTAGAAATTCATTGGATGAAAAATAACAAAGAAATCCCAAAAGACTCCATAGCCAAAACTTGATTAAGAGGCATAACAAGAAGAGGGTAATTGCAAAAAAGAAAGACAAAAGTAGAGAAACGAAGAAGATCTGCAAAAGGGTTACCATCAAATGAAAGAGAATTGACTGGAGGATTGATGATTGTGATAACAGCAACTCCATCAGCTCCAACTTCCATCGTTGTTCTCCCTTGTTCTTGCTGTCGCTCTCCATTTCCACTATTTCTTCGGCTATGATTGAAAATTTTTTTGATCAAATTTTGTACTCCAAAAAGCAAGCCAAATAATGGGTATTTGTATTGGGTGGTAACAACAATAAAAGAGGTCGTTGGGCGACAATTTGTTAAGGATGTGATGTGTAAGAACGGTGAAAAGTGGCGTTTGAAGAGGTTGTACGGTAATCAAAATCAGATTTACAGATTGCGAAGGAGATTTTAATCCAATTCCTCATCCTCACTCGCTATTAGTGGAGATTGCACACCACGCGAATCAAAATTGCATGAGAGAAGACAAAACAAATAATACAACTTGATAATTGAAGCTAAAAAAAGTCAAAATAAAAATAAAAATTTTATGAAAATGGTGTTTGTTGGCCACGCTCCTTTTTTTGGAGTGGTTATAAGATTGAAATAGTAGAAAAATGAGAGTTATGGTTTTTCGATAATTTCAAAGTTTTACAACGGACAATGTGGTCGTTATATAGGGCCCGTAATCAAATCGAGCATGCTTTATTCGTTTATTTATTATTTTTTTTTTTCTACAGCTGTTTGGTTTTCCATTCTATTATATTAAAAAATTATTTTATTTATTTAAATTTGATTTATTTAAATGATAAAATAATTATATTTAATTCATTTAAATTAATCATATTTATTTATAAATATTTTTACTACGAATGTATAAATAAATGTATTTATTAATAACAAATAAATCATAATTAAATAAAATTTAATAAATAAAAATTAAATAAAATTTAATAATTAAAAATTAAATATAATTGTAAATAATTCGTAAAAAGCCTATTCACTTCCATTCTTGTTATTATCGCGTTTAATCTTGAACTGAATCCGAATGTGAGCGGTTTGACCCGAACCCGGATTGAATTTGCTATGATGGGCTTGACACGTGTTTTCTCCGGTGTTAGGCCTAATGGGTTCGGCTATCTAACTTCGACCCCGACGCCCAATGTCGGTTGCCCATTTTATAGTTGGGCCATTTTTCTTTTATAGGCCCGAACACTTAAAATAATTGGACCAAGATCAAATCATTTGATAAACTTACTTCTTAATCTAGGTTAGGCTTTAATTTCTTCTAAGATTTATGTTGATTCCAATCATTACATTATTTCGTTTAAATATAAAATAAATTTCTAAATCCTACTAAGTTAAAAATTGTAAATGTTTCTCTTGTATCTTTATATCTAAAATTAGAGACAATAATTCGAATTAAATTTGAATTGATTATTTTTAAATCATACAGATTCGAATATTTTAATTGTTAATAATTATTTTTAAGGTTAATTTTTTAGATTTTTGTCGGATTTGAATTGAATTGATTATATTTGTTGATTTTTTATACAAATTGAATTGGGTTGGATTTAATATAATTTTTTGGATTTCAATTAGTTTTATATATCCTCTAAACAAAATCCTTTCAAAACAAATAATGGAAAAGAATATAATTCCTTACATAAATGATGTTTATTTAATAAATTTTTTTATTGAGTCCTAGAGTTAATAATTTTAAAGCTAATTTCATCTGACAGAATCATTTTCCCCTACTAAAAAAAAAATGTTAAAAATTAAAAGTATTTAAAAACCAGTAAAATAAAAACAAACCAACAATACAATTACTGAGAGTAATTAGATGTAAAAGATAAATTAATATTTATAAATTATTTTGATTTAAATAAAATTTAAATTTAATTTAATTATTATTAAGTAAAGTTTAAATTTAAATAATTTAATTTATTAATGAACTAAATTTGAATATTTTAATTTCAAATTCGAATAATTCGAATTCTAATTAATATTTTAAATTTTAATATATTTTTATTATTTTAATTACAAAATTATTATTTTACTTATATATATTAATTCAATTTTAAATTTAAATTTAAATATATAATTGAGTTCAAAATTAAATATATATTATTTTAAAAATTAAAAATTCAATTAAATATAAATTATTTTAAAAATCAAAATTATTGTACCATGACACGGCTCTATTAGACCATTTCTACTTACCAATCACGAATGCAATTTGCAAACAGAAAGAGAGAGGAAAAGTGAGTCTATTCTTTTTGTTTCTCTTTCTCTTTTCTTTTCCTTGTTTTTTATTTTCTGCGGAAATTAATTTTATATGGAAATTAAACAAAACGAAAAAAAGAAAGAAAGAAAAAACTCCTAAAAATGAGCACTGAAGAAGCAAAGAGAAGCATCAACGGAGCTCTGACGTTGAAACCGACAACCGACGAACGGAAGCCTTCTCCGCTGCTTTCGTCGGAGTCGGCTACTTCACCGGCCAAGAAAGTCATCATCAAAAGCGCCGACATGAAGGACGACATGCAAAAAGAAGCTGTCAATATAGCCATCTCCGTTAGTTCTCTTTCTTGAAGCTTCCATTTTTACTCGATTCGTTGTCGCTTTTTATGGTTTTGATTCGATTTCGTTTCTGGGTTTTGTTCATCGGATCTTGGTTTGTTGGTAACTATTATAAATTTGTTGACTTTGACTGTTTTTTTTTTCCTTCTTCTGGGGTTTTGATCAGGCATTTGAGAAGAACAATGTAGAGAAAGATGTAGCAGAGCACATAAAGAAGGAATTCGATAAGAGATATGGACCCACTTGGCATTGCATCGTTGGTCGCAATTTTGGTAACCCAATTTTCCATTTGGATTTGATTTATTTATGCTCTATTTTTATTGTTATCAAAATTTCAATTCTAATGGCTTACAAATTCCTTTCTTTTAAGTGATGCTGTTCTTATTATTGAAATTGGAGGAGATCTAGGCTTAAATAAGATGTAATTTCCATGTGCATTGACTGCCATCAATGCTATAGATGTTAGATTGGATTGTGTTGAGCTTAGGCCTTCTGTTTTTGGAGTGTAAGGTGACTGTAGTTTTTCCATTATTATCGAATTTCTACGTTAAGATCACAAATATTTTTAGTAGATTGATTGCTTTTGATGAGAGGGACTACTCCATCTTTAAGTCTCAAATTTTATCTGGTTATTCGATGAAGGACTAGTAACTTTTATGTTCAATCAAGGATCTCAGCTTTAGTAACACTGCTTTAAACAAATTCTTAACGCTATCCCATACGCAATTCATAGGGGTAGTATGGCCATTGATTTCATAGAGGGGGTTTCATAATGGTTGAGCATGGCCATTGGCTATGCTTGGATTTGGTCAGATGGGCTAATATTCATCAACGTGCTTAATTACCTATTTTGTACCTCCAATGGCCATGTTACGGATTCTGTTTACATTTAGTTGATGGCATTAAGATTGGACCTCTATTTCATATTGTATGTCAGATGTAATATATGTTTTCTATTGAATAAGAAAGTGGTTAGAGCTTGGACACTTTCAGCTTGGAGATCTCAAGCTCAAAAGTTTGGATTTGAGGAAGCAGAGGAGGGGTGGGCGGGATGATATTCTTGGATGGAATATGGCTACGTCCCTTTGAATAACCCAAGGCTAGTAGACCTCCATCGATACCAAAAGGAAAAAGTTTGGGTGCTAAAATGGAAGTGCAGAAGGAAAACTTTTGTATCTATTTATGCAGTAAAGTTTGAGTGCTGAATTTGAAATGGAGGTTCTTGCCTCTTGTCATACCTGACAATTGGTATTTACCTGATGATTATAGATGTATGAGTAATCCTCTTTTGACCATAACTTCAGTGAGATATATTATAAGCTGCTTAACCATTGGGACAAAATAAATTGATTTGTGTTCTGAATGAGTTTCAGCTGCCTTCAGTCTGTGACTACACCTTTTTGGATCATAAACCACCTATTTACTTGCATCATCAATCGGACGCTCATTAGTAAAAAAGCGCAGTATATGAGTGATATGTATATTACATACATATGGAGCATGTAACAATACCATGTTAGAAATTAATTCAAGTAGAGCTTTGGTCATTTGGTATGATTACAATCTACATTGGCATGCACCCTCTTCATCATATATGTTTATGTGGACAATATTCTCTAGATGACAAATCATAGTGCTACAATTTTGAAAGAGGCAGTTTTAACTCTTCTTAAATATCACCTAATTTCGTCTGCTACAATCTTGGGAATTCATTGGTTGTTTAACCAAATCATGTTCTCTTTGGGGCATTGTGCCTTGCTCATCCAGATTTTGTGGATTGTAAGCTAGATATTTGTAACCCTCACTGCAGACTGTCTCATGGTGGACAATCCGATATATTTATAATCTTGCACTGATAGCGCTATACTCCCTTAGTTATTAGTTTCGTTAAACCTTTCAATGTTTCGTACTTAGGCTGTTTTCGCCAATCTCATTGGTCCTCGGTAATGTGCATCCATAAAGTACATAAATTTGCAGTTGTAATGCTTGTTCTATATACATAGATTAGAACCAAGAGTCGGCATAGAACTGCCTTTTTTTTTTTTTTGTTGCTACATTTGCTATCATCTTGTTCTTATGTGAAAATTGTGTTCAAATTTCAAAATTATGTTGGATCAATATTCGTTTCATGCATTTTGGTGCAGGTTCATACGTAACGCATGAGACAAACCACTTTGTTTATTTCTATTTAGATCAGAAAGCAGTTTTGCTCTTCAAATCTGGTTAATCATGTTGTTATGTTGATGAAGAGTGGTGATCATGATGATGGTGAAATGAGAGGCTTAACCTATGCTGGCTATGGTTTGCAACTGTATGTATTAATTGAAAACCTGGTTGTATGTGAATTCTGTGTCCCAAAATTCTTGTGCCTAACTTGTATATTTTATTACACCTGAACTTATATTTCTCATTATGTGATCAAGGCTCACTTCAGATTAATTTAGGCAATGTTAGGATGAAAGCTTTGTTAAGTGATTTTGTCAATGAGCTAAAATATTCTCATTCTTTTGTAGCCAAGAAGGGAAATAAAAGGAAAAAGAAAAATGCGAGGTTAAAAAAATTCGAAATTTAACTCAATTGGTTTACGCACTCGTATTTAAGGAGTGATATTTATTCAATTTAACAATTTAAAATATGATATAATAATATAATATATACATGATACAAAAATATCAAACCGAAATGATAGCTTAAAATTTTAATAATTATATATATGTTTAATAATAAAAAATATATATTTCATGTTTTTATGTTTATATAAATTATATGACGTATAAATATGAATTGTTCAAGTTTGTCATTCATCGTGTATCATATTCAAATCTTAACATTTAAAAAAAAATGATACTTTTTATTCCTTCTTTCTTTCCTGTTTCCCCCCATTTTTTATAGAATGAAGAGAACATAAGCTTTGACTGCTGACTTTGATTTATTACAAACAAAGCATTATGTGTGAACAATCTTAAATTCTTGATAAATGAAGCATCACGTGAAAATACCGTATGCTTTGCCATTTTCAATTATGATACTGATACATAACGGCCCCAAGAGAAATGAAAAATTTTGCAGCAGCCTATAGACCTACACAATCCATGTCATCGTCACTGGTAGATATGATAAATCGTGATCATATTATATAAAATATTATTTTTATATATTATTTTATATAAAAATTACGTATTATAATTTATATCGATATAAAAATATAAAATATAATTTTTGATTTTATTAAATTTATTTATAATTTTTTTAATTATAAATCATATTATTTTTATATCGTACTATCATTTTATGTTTTAAATTATTAGATTATCAATTGCAACATCGTTTTATCATTAATTATATATGTTTAAAGGAGTTAAAAAAAAAATCTAATCAAGCTATAATCATCAAAATTGAATGTACATGCATAGCATGTGTTTGTTTTTGCTAAATTATTGTGAGTTTTCTTTTATTTAGATATCATACACTCCTGAATCTTTGAATAGGATGGTCATGAAAGAAATTTTTTGATACGATAAAGGGAATTCCCAATTTTGGGAGGTTTAATTCCTTCCTTAATAGATCTTTAAAATGTATTATTTATTTATTGATGTAATACATTCATAATTTTATTTTCGAAAAATTTTTCACACAATTTGACAAATAAAAAACTTCCTATCCTTATTAATTGAATTAATCTTTATGTGTATAATTTGAAAGATTTTTTTTTTTTGTATTTAAGATTAGTAGAGATTACCTTTTAATCATTAAAATTAAAAGATTAATATTATAATAACGGATCATAAATTATTAAAAATAAAAAAAATTCGAAACCAAATCAACCTGATCATAAAATGACCGAATTTGAACACATCCATTTGTCAAATTTGAATAATAATTTTCCCTAAAAGAATCTGAATTGCATTGGACACGTTAATGGGGGTTTCTCAACTAAGGTCCATTAAAGGGCATAAAAGTCAACTACCAGTATCCCGCGTCAACCCTGACGTCTGTACGTTGGACTGAAGAAATATCGCTAGGAAACTGGACTATCTACTCCAAACCCTCTTTACTTGAGAAACCCACAAGAACTTTCCTTCCTTGCCTCTCTTATTATCCCAACAATTTCCTTTCCCTCTCCCCACTTTCTTTCCTTTTTATTCCTCCCAAACCAAACAGAGAAATCAAGCCCGAGCCGAGCTGACTCGAAAAAACTTCAAAGCCATGGGTGAGGACGCTGCTAGATCCATAGATCCCCCTGACTTCCCAACGGAAAACAACGGCAACTATGCGTTGAGTGGTAGAATCATGCTCAGCGCGATCGTCGTTTTGTTCTTCGTAGTGATTCTCATGTTCGCCTTCCATCTTTACGCTCGTTTTTACCTTCTCCGTGCCGCCCGCCGCCGTAGTTCCCGTAACGGCAGCAGCAATTCTCGGCGAACGCAGCTCGTCTTCTATATTGACCCGAACACTAATGCGGCCTCCGCCACAACGCGCGGTCTCGATGCGCGCGTGCTCAAGTCGCTCCCGGTTTTCACTTTCTCATCCACGACGCATCCGGATTCCGCCCTCGAATGCGCCGTTTGTTTGTCGGAATTCGAAGAAAACGAATCCGGTCGGGTCTTGCCCAAATGTAACCATAGTTTCCATTTAGAGTGTATAGATATGTGGTTTCATTCTCACTCCACGTGTCCTCTTTGTCGAACTCCCGTTGAAGAACCCGCACTCGTATCTGAGAATCCAAGAGATTTAGTTTTAACGATAAATGACCCGTCAGGAGTAGAGTCGGGACCGAATCAGAGCTCTGATTTATGTGCCACGTGTCAGCATGAGGAACAGGCAGGTACGTCGGCTGTTGCGTACCGGAGGAAGTTGTCGATTGAGGTTCCCAGGAGGAATACCGAAGGTTTTGAAGGTGAGTCAAGTGGGTGTGACTCAGGACCAAGTCAATCTTATAAATCGCCGATGAGTCGAATGCTGTCGTTTAAGAGGATATTGAGTAGAGACAGGAGAGGGAATGGGGCGAGTTCTTGTCCTTCCCCGATAAACGCGGGGAATTGCGGGTCAATCAGTGTGTCTGAGTCGGATATCGAGCGAGGTGGTGACGAGGCTCGGCAAACTCATGGCTGACTCGGGTTGTGTGTGACTCAGTAGATATTTGCAACGTGATTGAATTACCTCATCGAAGTGAAAAGACATTGCAATGAATTGAATGTACACGTTGATGAGCGGGAATCTTTGTTCGTAAAATCGTGTGTGTAAATGAAATGAAATTTATTTATTTTTTGTTTTACTTGAGTTAAACCTTTTGTTTTATTAGAGATACAGTTGGTGTTTTTAATTTTATTTTATAAATTGTTTTTTAAATCAGAAATTATCAGGAAGCTTTAGATTTCATTTAGGTGATAAAATGATACATATTTTTAAAAATATAATAAAAAATTAAAAATTAGACACTTGATAGTTTTCAAACTTATATAAAATTAAAAAAAACTATTATTAAATATATAAAAATAAACTTTTTTAAATATAATTTAAATCATAAATACTTATCAATGATTTCATTGATAAAAGCAGAGTTTTCTTTTTAATAATCAAAATTTTTTTTTGTAAAAAATATTTTACAAAAAAAAAATTCGGCTAACATTTGGATTTTTTTTTTAGTGCCGTAAAGAATAAATTGTTGGCAAGAGAAGAAGAAACAAGTTTTTCCAGTCAAAAGTATTTGATATGAGCCACCAGTTTGACGTCAATTTCAAAGTGATGGTCAAAGCAGCCAACTCAGATCTTCTTTTTTATTTTGTCAATAATAATAATAATAATAATAATATTAATGGGTTGATGCCTTCGTGGTGGCGCAACTAAAGCTGTCTCCATTTGACCCAACCTAACTTAATTTCTTATTTACTATTCTTATAATAATTCCTCTTTGCTGTTGTCGTTTTCCTCATCTTCATTCTAGTTGGGAATCCTTGGATAACCATTCCTCACCTGTCCATTCATGAAAGTCACCATTTTTTTTTTAAGTAAGAAAGCCACCATCTCTTGACTGTGTAAAATTATTAGGAGTACAACAATTCGTATCATCATATTATATTTTATATTAAATATAATTTTAAATAAAATATAAATAATTTTGATAAAAATATAAATAAATATTATAAATTTATTATATATATTATACATAATATAATACGATTAATATATTTAAAATTAATTTATACTCAAGTAATAAAATATAATATGACATGATTAATATAATTATATATAAATATTATAATTTATTTATTTAAATAAAAATATTATTTAAATTAATATTTAAACAAAATATTAAATATTAAATATTATAATATATTTAAACATCAAAATGATATAATAAATATGATTATTAATTTATTTTTTAAATAAATTAAAATAATTTTTAATTTTTTAATGTTATAAACTGTAATATATCTTAAATATATCATTACTATTTGATATAAATATGACACAAATAATATCATATCTTAAATATATTGACACGATAAAAATATAAAATTTGATTACATTACATTCATATTTAATATTTTTATATCATATTATCGTATCGTATTTAAAATTATCAAAATTTATTTTACAAACTCAATTGTGATATTTTAAAACTTCAAATTATAAATAGGAGCATTTAATTTAATAATAAATACGATGTATTTCTTAATTAATATTTAAGTATCAATTTTTAATACTTTAGAATTAAAAACTAAAACTTTTCTTTAAAAATAGCAATCATAAAATCTGATTGAATTCTAAAAATTGCCCGAATCAATCTAAAACGGAATTTGATGTAAGTTGACTAAAAAAAAAAAAAAAAAATGAAATGATTCAAACTCAGAGTAATCTGGATTCTAAGTAATTCAAACTCACAACCATAATATCATAATTAATTCAATCTAAAACTCATACAAATCAAAGTTCAAATAAATCGAATTTAAAATAACTAAAATTAAAATTAAATGAATAGAAAATCGTCCAAATTCAAAATTATCTGCACTAAGACAATTCAAACCCGAAATAAATTTGAATCGAAAAGCATAGTGAATCAAACTGATTAAAGTTAAAGGGGGAGCAGAAAATGCAGTGAAGGGCCCTCTCATTCCCTTCCCAGCAAATGCACTGCTTAAAGCTAAAGCTAGAGCTCAACCGCAACGCCTCAACCACGCCAAGTCTTTTGTTTTCTACATGTTTAGTTGTATGTTTTTCTTCAGTGTGATTCACTTTCTGTTTATGAACGCGGTTTCTGCAATTTCTACAAAAAATTCGTACAGATTTTGTCTCTTACAATAAGTCAGAATCCAATGGATAAACTGATCAAACGTCACGAAAATTTAATACAAGAAAACACAAAGGGCTTTGCGTTTGACTGTTTGCGTTTGAATTTTCAAGCTTTTGGACATCATAGTAAGAAACAGGAGGAGGGTAGATCAAGGGAAATCAAGAAAATACTGTTCTTATTTTCTTAGTTATTACTCTTATTTATAATTACTTTTTTGGATTTAAATAATTTTATACCTAACGCTAACATATCGCATTGTTAATTCATAATGTTTGTGTGACAACGGACTTTGAGCTTAAATGATTTGAGATCAATGTAGGAGGATTAAAATTGACCTCTTAAATTCGAACTAAATTAACAACTAATAATTTATTCGTAGATGATAAATTAATACTTTCATGTATCAATAAATAAATTATTAAAATGATTGAATTAATATAAAATTCAAAATTTTATATCAGCTTTACACATTAATTTGATTAAAATGATCAAGATATTTTTATTTATCAATTGACGTATACTTTAGAAGAAAATTTCTATTTACTCTTTTGGATACTAAAATGCTCTTAATAATTTGGATTTAAGATATTAGTATTTAATGGTTTAATCAAGTTGATACGTTATATCAAATTTATTTTCAATTCATTTAATTAATCATTTAATCATGTCAACTCAAATTATAATTGGAAATTTGTCTTGTCCAGTTTTGTGATTTTCACATACCATCAACATGTTTCGCTTAATATTTTTAGAAAAAATGTTGGGTTAAGTGAGTTCCAAACTATGGGTCCTTTTCCAACTCCATTAACACGCCACATCCTTGACTTTTGGCCTTTTATGGTAGGAAAAGCCTTTGATTTTCCATTGAAAAAAAAAATGGTAGAAATAGAAAAGAGCCATAGACACGCAGCTGACGGAAACCGCCACGTTAAGGTTGCTTGGTTGATTGAAACAGAAATGGTCAAAATACCACAGGGGATGGGAGACGAAACCTGTCTTCCACGTAATTCTTGCGTATCAAGACAATATTTTAGTTCAATGGAAACGCGTTTTTTTTTATTGATAAGTGGAGTTGATTTCTGTGGCAAATGATTGAGGTTTGTTGGGATGTAGAATTTTATTACAACCAAATGCGTGGTTGTCTTTAGTGATTGAAAACTATAATTTGAAAGTGTCTACCCTTGTATTTTTTTAGCTTAAGATGACAGACCGGAGTTTGCTAAAGGTTGAAGTGGAAAACATGTCAAACTTATTAGGCGAAAGGTTAAAATAGTAAAAAAAAAATTTTTAAATTTTATTATTTTACATGAATAAGTACTTGTATTTTTATTACATCTAACAAAAATTTTGAACTTTAATTTACATTAAAATAAACTTTTAATCTTTAATTTGTATCAAAATAAACCCTTAATATATATCAATTTTTTGTTTCAAATAATAATTTATTTGGATACAAATCAAATAATAAAAATTTATTTGGATATAATAAAAGGATACAAATTTATTTTTAAAAAATAAATAGTTTAAATTTTTTTTAATATTTTAACCTTTAGTTAAATATGTTTGTAAAATTAAAAAAAAAAATTCTATAATGATGTATGAAAATCGAACTCACGAAATAAAAACGCAGGATTTTGTGATCGTATCAACAATTTTCAGATAACTATAGCATCGGCCAAGTTTTAATTTTCAACGGTGAACGAGAGCATATGGCCACAGATCCAGCCCAGCACAATTACAACCCTAGTTCACGTTCATGCCGAATGAAATGACCTGTTCTTTACAGTTCAAAGGTGAACAATTTCACCAGAACCTACACCAGTATAAACAAATCAATGAAAAGTTCTTTAGAAGAGTGGAAAATATCAACCAGTGGCCAAAGATTTGTTTCAATTTCAAACTGCAGTCTGGTAAGAAGAAATCTAAAGCATTCTTCTGTCTTGCTGTCTTCGATAATCGAATGAAACAGATTGATGTTATTACAAGGCGTTGTGACTGATAAAGTACATCCTAAGAATAAGTTACAACAATATTACAATGGAGAGCTAACATTGTCAATTGACCTAAAACTATGGTGAAGTCTTCTGAGCTATTCAGCTCAAGTGTTGAATTGCTGCAACAAGTCGGGATCTTCGTCTCCTCTTGCCTTCGGGAGTGCACCTTACAACACTAAATTTTCCAAGCTTCGCAGAGAATTTGCAATTTGGTTGTGATGACAATTTTGTTGATCCATAATCTGAATCTGAATTGACAGATACACATTTCTCTGGTGAAGATTTAGTCCTATCACCTTTTGTGGGTGATTTACTCAAGGGCGATTTACCTCTCTTTTTGGGCCTTTGAAGTTGAGTTTCCACCCTTCCCTTGTCGTGTTTGAGGAGCCGAACATGGAACGGATTTACAGCTGTATAACAAACACATTCATCATGACCTTCACTTCTATCCAAATCAACATCTCCATTGTTCACCTGTATGACAATGTTAATAGTAACCTTGTTAGTGCATTAGCAATGAGAAGTGCCTCCCTTTTGTTATATTTCACCGGCTAATTCCTTTAAGATATTAAACTCTTGGTCCTTTTTTCAACAACAGAAAACCATAATGAAGTTTTGTGTCAGAAATTTACTACAACAATTTAACTAAATTACTTCTAGATGAAGAGAAACTGACTGATGAAATTTACTTAAAAATGAGAAAAAAGAAATACCAATTGGAGAAGTGCTGAAAAGGTTCGAGCAACATCATGCTTTTCTTGGCCCTTCACAACTTCACCGAATGGCATGGCATTTCCATTTTCAGCTTCATGTGACAGTTTGTCAAGAATTCTTTCACCGTACTCGTGAATATCAAATGGAGGATGTGAATCCTATTAAAAACAAAAGGCATCCTTAGTTTAAATTGCCAGGAAAAAAGTATAACATAGAAGAGCAATAATAGTGATGAAAGATTAGTGGTTATAATAATGTAAAACCCAAAAGGAATTTAAGGAATTGAAGCTCATTTTACCTGCTCTTCCAAGTTATGCTCAATTTTCTGTTTCCATGATGAAACTCGAGCAACCAATTCAGTTTGCATCTCGCTTTCAGCTATATTGGCAAGCAGAGCATCCTGCACAACGAAATACATGTAATATATTCAAGCAACAATCTGGCACTGCAAAGTTTATTGCCGCGCTTTACCTAACTTGCTGCAATTGGTTGTCACTACTTTCGGTAACAGCACTCAGAGATCTGAGCTCTTCAAGTAAGATGGAAGAGGAAAGAGAAACCAAATATAAAGGCGAAATATAAAGGTGTCGAAAGCATAATTACATAAATAACTAAAACGTGTAAAAGATAATCAAGCATCCCTATTCTTTAAACAGATCACAACTTTTTGATGGACTAAATCAGGCATCCAAGCCAATAGAACACAACCAATAATGCTTGTCTTTTTTTTTTTTGAAACTAAAAAAGAAATGTAGGTTAGCAAAACAAATACATTAAGTACCTTGTTAGACAAATAAAAAAAAAACTAACATTTTTTCTCTCTCTTTTTAAGAGAACTTTTCATCTCAATGGTAAAACCAAAGAATATGGTCCTCCATAGAGCAGAATGGCATCATTGGATCTATGTTCCACCAGAGATGGTAGGAAGCATCCATTGTGTGCTTATTGTAAATGTAAAGACAAAGTATGCTTACTAGGTGAGAGCGGCAGAGATCTTCCAAGCTTGCTTGAGAATATGGATCTCCATTGTCAAACATTTCATCGATTACAAATTTGGCATCGCCATCTTCATGCTATGAAAAGATCAATGAATGAGCAACAACAGAAAATCTCATACTTTCTAGTGGGTAAATATAATAAATGATGATATCACTCATATGCTAACCTTTTCATTCTGAAAAGGTAAATCTTCATCCGTATGCATATTCTCTGGCACATCAAAATCAGGTTCACAAAAATCAATGTTCTCACTATGGTATCCATTATCTTCATTGCCATCTTCGAAATTAGCATACTTATCAGCAACTCCATTTCCCCAACCAGTTAGTAATTGCCGAAGCTGAAATAAGCAAACATGTTTTACAAGCCAAGCATGCATCGGGTTCACCTAAGTACAACTTTTTAGGGGTGAGCATCATGCTGGGCAGTCCTAATCCTAGGATCACATATCACCCATACATGATCGGTCCTTAAAATTTTGGACTGTGGACCGATCCATCAGCAGACCACCTATGCAACATCGATCCAGTGCGATCCAGATAGCCCGTAGATTTAAAAACTTTTCAAAATATAAAATTAAAATAATAACTTTACAATTTCATAAATAAAATTGCTCACCCACAAACTTTAGGATACGTACCTTTTCATATAATGGAGGAGACTTAGACTCCCTTTGCCTTTTGAATGCATTCTGCCGCCTCTCCCACATTTCTGTAAGTTCTGGACTAACGGTACCATGCAATCTAGCGAGTGGAAATAAAGTAGTTATAGGAATACTCTTGGCAGAATTTGCCCCATTCCTTCTAAAAGCTTTTACTGCTTGTGAAGAAAAATCAAAAGAAGCCAGTATTAGGTACTGGCCAAAATTATATAACTAGAAAAAAACCTGTAAGAAACCACAACTTAAATACCTTTTCTGAAAGGCCTCACTTTCAAGTTTCCAGGTTCATGGGGATTCAGAGGTTTCCATGGATCATTTTCATCATCATCTGAATCATCTAAGTCTCTAGGTTCTGAATACCTATCATCCGCATCAAATTCATGATCTGCATTTCCAAAATTATCAGCAGCAGGATGATTGGGCCCCATATTACAGTCATTAACACCAAAACTGCAATCAACTTTAGGAGATTGATTAACATTAGCATTCGTATTTTTTCCAAGAGTTGTTTTATGTGCAGTCCCCCCTGAACGCCATGTGGGAGACTGAAAGCTCTTGTGCCTTGAACTGCCCGTATAAGTGCCATATTCTCCTTTACCAGCTTCACCCTTCAAATAATCGTCAACGGCTACTGCATCACATGGATCTAATAAAATAAAATCCTGGTAGAGATCATTTTTTGCCAACTGCACCACCAAAAACCAATCAGAGAGTTAGGCTGCACAGTTAGTCAAACTTCATCATTTACTATTGAGTGAAGCAACTGGAATACCAGATAGGACTCTAATTCACTGCCATCACCCGAAGTGTCTAAGCAATCACCTTCAAGAACAACTAAATTTGCAGGGGGCTTCACAAAGTGATTCAACAAAGTGTCTTTGTTGGCTGAACTATCCAAGCTAATCTTTTCTTCCACTGCAAATATAAGCTCTTTTCGGCTAATACCAGCAGTATAATTCCATTACAATGAAAAAAAAAAAAAAAAAAGAGGTCAGTGGTTTAAGGGTACCTGGGATGTCATCCAGGCCCCAAAATTGATCATTGTCTTCATCTAAAGAAGCATGCGAAGCACTTTGTTCAGGCTGGATTGACGCGCCTTCTGGTTGATCCTGTTGCCTGTTCAAATGCATATACCATTTTTTGAGGAGCAACCATTACTGACAGAATATAACAATGTCCAAATAACACAAAAACAAAGACAATAGGGTAAAAAAAGCCCTCGAACTAAATTCAACAATCATCTAAGACCTTTTTTATTCAATCAATTAAACCCTCAAACATTTCTTTTCATTAATTGAGCCAAAAAATGATTAATTGTTTCTGTTCAATTGAGGATTTAATTGAGTGAAAATTAATGTATAAAGATTCAATTAGATGAAAATAAATGTTCACTGGTCTGATTGATTTGAAACAAAAGATTTAGGAGTTGATTGATTATAATAAAATATAAGTAGCTTAAATAATTATTAAATTGTTGTTCGAAGGTTGACCCTTAAACCAAAAACAAAATAAAAGAGAAAAACAATCCTAAAAGATGAAAAATAAAGAAATGGGTAAAAGAAAAGGAAAAAAAAACCTCTTTTGAGAAAGAAACTCCAAAGCATGCAAAACCAAGTTGTATAGATACTCTACTTTCCGGCTATACACCTGAACCGAGCCCTGAAGCAGCAATGCAGCTACATAGAACAATATATAAATTAATTAAAAAAAACCCATAAGGACAAAATATAAAATCTCTTTGTTTGGGTAAATTGGAAATTAGGGCAAAACCTTCAGCGAAATTCACTGGGTTATATCCGTCATCGCCTTGGGACCCAGTAATTTCACCGGAGCAAATCTTCAAGAGATAGTCTTCAAGTTTTTTGGCAAGATCGACTTCCCAATTGGCTTCCAAATCACGCTCCGGCTGGACTCTGTGGAACTTCGCAAATTCACCACCGCCGGAATCCACGTCGCTTTGATGGTGGTTAGTCATCTTCTTCTATAGTTATGTTTTAGCTTTGCGTTGTTTTGGTGTTGTTGGCGACTTGAATTCATTTGGGAGATCCAGGGTTTTCGAGTCGTGGGCAAAATTGGGAGTTTTACTGTTTGCCTGTTGAGAAAATTTGGAGAGAAAAGAAGGGAAAGTAAGGAACTTTAGGGTTTCGTTTTGCAGCATAGGCCGGTGGATATGGCGAAGAGAGAAACAGAGAGAGATTTCAAAATCTTTCGACGGACAGCTTTCCCGCTTTGTCAACGAGTGCCGTTCTTGTTTCACTAGAACTAGAAATAGAGCGTTGGGCTGGGTTTTATAGATTAGGGCTAACTGGCCCAATTCTCAGTAGGAATAGAAAAAAAAAAAAACTGAAAAGTAATTCGAAATTATAGTGTTTCATTAGGACCGAGTTGATTTTAAATTTTGATAAAAAATAAAAAAAATTAAATCGAACTTAATTATATATTTTTATTAATTTTTATAAAATAAAAATAATTATTTTATATTTAAATTTATTTAAATATGTTAAAAATTATATTAAAATAATATATAAAAAACATAAAAATTAAATTTAAAAGCTGTTAATTTAATCGATAAAATTCAGTTCGGATTAAATTTTATAAAAATTTGATTTGAATTGTGATTAAATTTTAAAAATTTATAATTTTATATATTATCTTAAAAATCAAATTAAATCTATTATGATTTAAACTATTATCACTTTTAATTCTCAGCACCACGGGTTTTAGATTTTTTTTTTTTTTTTAAAGCCGAAATTCATATTTTTAAGAAACCCAACATCTCATTATTATTATTATTATTATTGTTATTATTATTATTATTACTACGATGGATTAAGGTGTTTTCAGATTTTGCTTAAGTTATTTTTTTTTTTGCATGAATAAATTTTTTTCTATGAGATTTAAATTCTTTATTTGGATATATTGTTATTGATTTTTTTATAATTTTTAATGCAAAAGAGTAAAATCATTAAAAGAATAAAAGATTTTAAATGTTCAAAAAAAATTACATAATTTTGAACATAAAAAAAGAAAAAGAAGAAGAAAATGGAACGAAAAAGTTGTCAATCATCTTCATGTTTTAATTCTCTATAGTCCAGGAATCATGCCAGGAGTGTAGGGCACCCCAGACTGAGGGATCCAGTCGCCACCACGTAAGAACACGCCAGCGGTGAATTGCTGGGCCTGAGCTTCATTGATTTTCTTGATACCACTCCATTTAACCCTGTTGGTCTGAACTGCACCGGGGCCTCTGTTGCCAAACTCAGCATAGAATAAAGTGTCAAGGGCGAAGTCACCATTCCAGGGCAACCATCCCTCAGGGTCAATGATGTCGTCCAATTGTGATTGCATGACGATGGTCCTGGAGAATTCCTTCCATGGGCGGCCAAGGTATGCTCGGTTCTTGTTCTTCACAGGGAGGTAATCTGGGGCACCGGAGATGGTGCAGTTTTGGAGAACAAGGGCTGAGACCTCACGGCGTTCGATCCTTCCTTGAGCGGTGACGATGCATTGCTGGTTATCCAAAGGCTTCCTGACGATGATTTTGCAGTTCTGAAAGACAGCAGCGGAATCACCGAAGATGAAGTCGATGGTTCCAGAGATGGTACAGTCCCTGTAGTATTGGCGATGGCTGTGGGCGTACAAGGTGTCTTGGTAGCCATCCATTTGGCAGTCGTAGAAGATGGATTGATCGCTTTGGACACGAAGTGCTACAGCTTGGTGCTTGATGGCTCCAGCAGTGTTCTCGAATCTAACGCCCTTGGCCATGAATTTTTCACCAACAATACCTGTAAGATTCAAAAGCAAATACTTTATATCTTGTTTTATTTCTGGGAAATGCTTAATAGATATCAAAATAATATATTACTAACCAACTGTTGCAGTCTTGAATGTGCCAGTTCCATCAACATAGTTCAAGCGACCGGTGATGATGGTCTTGATTGGTCCATCTCCAATGAACATAACATTGCTCATGCTCTTGTTGACAAGCACTTGCTCGTTGTAAACTCCAGCCTTAATGTAAATAACAAATGTAGTGGGATTATTCTTGGGGACTTCTTTCAGGGCCTCGTTGATGCTGGAGTATTTGCCACTTCTATCCTTAGCAACAACAACATTAGGCTTAATGGTGGCTGGAGTGTGCTGAAGGAGCAAGCGCTGCTTTGAGCTGACCCATGAAGGGAATCCATCCTTAGACAAGAGCCTGCGTTCGGCGCCAGTAGTGTCAATGTGGGGTACATTTGGAATTTTGAGATTGTTGAGGATTGAAGATATCTCAGAAACCATGGCCAAACCATTGCTGGTAAGCTCCTGAGAAGTTTTCAAAAGTGCTTTCATCTTTGTTTCAGCTTCACCGGTTGTGTTCATGAATCCATCCAAGCAAGTTTGTTGGTATGTGATGGCACCACCAAGCCAAATCTTGAGGTTTTCAACGTATTCATCGAGTTTGCTAATGTCGAATGCTCCCATTTGATCGAAAGACTTCTTAAGATCATCAATGGCATAATCCATGAGCTCATTGCAATTATCAAGAGCCTGACGAGCCATTGGGTCATTGGCTACCTCTTTCACGGTGCTTGAATTGGCAATTACTTTCTCGATTTCACTGATAGCGGCTTGGAAGCCAACCCTGATAAGCTCCTTAGGATCGGTGGTGTTGGCAGATGAAAGGCTTTTTTCACACGATTCTTTGTAATCAGTAGGTTGGCAAATTGCTTTGACCGCCTTGGTAGAAGTCGATATCTCACTAGTAACAGTAGCGCCACCACCGTTATCACTTCCACCACCGCTTCGGTTAACACCAACCGCCACAGCCACCACCATGGCCACCAAGAACACCGAACAAATACTGATAACTGCAACGTTTTGTCCCATTTTCGAACAAGTTTCTTCTTTTTCTTTGATAAAAACAAGCAAACAGAGCTGTTGGGGCTCTTATTCTTTATTAGATATTGCCCCTTTGGCTCTGGTTTGAGAAAGCTCTCCCTCAGATGGGTTATATATACAATGGGGAGAGAGAGGGAACCCGAGAAAATGACGCCAAACTAGCTTTTTTCTGTTCAAAATTCGTAAGGCTGTGAGAGCCCGACAGACGAGAGGGTTTGTTAACGTTATTTGGTCTTTTTCCTTCCAAAAATCTTGGGATTTGGCGGAAATGATTGGTGAGTTTACATCCTTTTTTTTGTTCATCGTCTAAAACGGGTTTTAAGGCTTATTTTTTGCTGGAATGGAAGTTTGAAGCCTTCTAATATAAAAGCTAAAAGCCTAAAACTGCATATGTTCATCAAGAATAAGCAGATAATATATGATAGTTAGAGATGACAACGGCCGAGCCGAGATAGTTTTTTTCGTTTCGGATTTTGATTTTATAAATTAAATATTTGAATTTAATTTAATTTAATATTAAAATATTATTTTTATATTTAATCTAATTCAATCAATATTTGTATAAAATGATTTGAGATTAATAAAATATTATTTTTTAAAATATAAATATAAAAAATATAATTAAATAATAATAATAAAAAATTTTATATCTAACCTTAAAAAAAAAATTCAAACTCAACTTAAAACCCGATTTAGAAAAAAAAAAAAAAAAAACCGATCCTTTGCATTATTGATTTTAGAGAAATTATCACTCCACTTAAGAGATGTCCTTATTTATGACTTATATTTAGGTGTCAAGTGCAGCTCAATTTATCTTTTCTTGATGCATGAAATTAAGCTGTAAAATAATTTTGAAGAAACCCACTTTAATATACTACAATAATATAACCTAAGAAATTTTGAAAATAGAGAAGATAATAAAAAAAAATCATAACAATAATGCAAAAACGACCTTTCTTTTTCAATGTGAGAACCCTTGAGGACATGCTACCCAAATACTGTCTATTCCATGAGGAAACAGCTCTGGTTTTGACCTCTCAGCCCCAATATAAAAGCTCTAAAAAAACTGTCAATTAATATCAGGATGAAGTAGGCAATGTGCTGAATATAAAGAGCCCAATTTTTTATTAACCAAGTCATTGGAACCCATTGGCTGAGGTGCCCCTTTTCGGCCTCCATAGCATTGCCTTTCTAATTTCTGTTAAAATGCACAAATCCCACATTAATTTCTTTTGTTTTCGGTTTATACTTTAAAATAAAGCGAAGAGTAGCAACAGTCCGCCGAGCTAGGTTGCGCTAGCTTGTAACCCGAGTGGGGGCAATTGAGGTGGCTGAACAATGACTCGGAACACTTGGTAGAGTCCATGGCGCAACTTCCTGGCTCGTCCGTTCCAAGTTGAGAGTTGAACCATGTGGTTTGTGCGAAGGCTCGTGCTACAAGGTTCCTAGAGAGGAGGGAACAGCGTGAGGCTGGTTTCACAGAGCAGCGAAAACCTCCCTCTCTCAACAGTGGGGGGATAACGAGCTGGTGCTTCCTAAACCCAGATTGCCTGGTGAGCTGAGCTCAATCGGACTGCCACCTTTTTATTTACTGTTTCATTGGCCAATAGGCAATGGGTATGGACGAAGCCTGGCAAACCAATTAGTTGCTGTGACATTTACAGCAAAAAAAAACATTAAACTAAGCCATATCCTAGTGTTGATCTTTGAAATTTGCCAAAGGAGTTACTATGTAAATGCAATTGAATGAAAGAAGACGACTAAATGATCATAACGACAATAAGCACAACAATGTTCACACTCACACACGCACGCACGCACGTGCACCCGCACCACCCACCCCCCCCCCCCCCCCCACACGCACACTGTTGTTCTAAAAACACAGTAAATGGAAACATGCCAACTTTGGTTTTAATCCGTGCAAGAATTTCAATGCTCCATTGCCTTCGGAATGGACTTCATCTGAAACAGAATCATAAAGTTGTTTTATAAAGCTTTTTCAATACTGAATTATCTTAAATGCACTCAATATTGAGTTTCTAGAGATTAAGTTCCATGTGTAGTTGGTGGAGAAAAGTTTTCAGGAACATCCTTAGGATGTGCAAGAAAAATATAGTGGACTAACCAGACTCCGGTACTTGAGAATGTAAAACATCTCCAAATATCGCCGTGTCTCTCTCCTTTCGAGCTTAGATACAGACTTCCAGAAGCCATATACTACAGCTAGTGTCAGTAATCTTTCGGAATATATCTTCCATGTGAACCTACATAAATGATGGATCATATAAGACTGGATTAAAATCAATCAAGCAGAAAACAAATGTATTCCTTGTACAGCTTCGGCGGGCAAAGCTTAACCTTTCATAGATTCGTTCAAGGCCTCCATCGGATATTTTGTCCCAGTAGGTGGGATCCTTCTGGCAACATTCAAAAAGTCGAACAGGCTAGCAGCAATCTGATCAGGGTGATAGGGTCCACATGAAACCCGGAAATGCCATGCTCAATGATCTCAGCAGGGCCACCATGACAGGTGGCAAATGTTGGAAGCCCACAAGTCATGGCTTCCACAACTGTGAGACCAAAAGCTTCATAGAAAGCAGGCTGTAAGAAGATCAATGAAAATGTTTAAATTGTTTAGAGGTTTTCACATCTTAAACATAGTAGTTCTTCCATCACACATCTATAGTAGGACTTACTTGCACAAAAGCACCTTTCGAATCTGCAATGTAGTGGTAGAGCCCACCATTGCGAGCACGATTCATTTGTGCTCGTATCCAGCGAAACCGACCATGCAAATTGTATAACTTCATTAGAGCATGCATCTTTTCAATCTCTTCCATTTCTTCTCTATCCGTGGATTTCTTCACATCCATGTAACCTCCAACAATCGCTAGATTTACCAGTTCTCTTAGCCTGCTGCTTTTACCATAACACTCAACAAGGCCCATTAAATTTTCACCCTATCAAGTCTTGCCATGGAAAATATGATAGGTTTTGATGTATCACTCAACATACCACTACATTGGCATAAACATAACACATATCAGATTAATACCAAATGATTGTGAAAACATATAATGTGTTTAATATAAAATAATCAAAGCATGGTTAGTATTAGTAATAGGCTCATTTGTGGTCCAAAGGTTATGCCTTACGAGTTTTTATAGTGAGCATAAGATATGTAAATATTACAGCCTTCAAAATGTGATACCAAGGGTCTCTGATATGATGTCACCTAGAAGTAGTATCACTTAGACAACTAGATATATTGGGACAGACAAAATACTAGCAGCTAAGATGATATAAAACCTCATTTAAAGTTACTCACACATGCTCATCATTTTGCTCAGGGTCATATAAGAGTTCTTCAATTGAACCATGTAAAGCAGCAAATCTTCTTTCCTTGTCAGAGTATGGAAAGTATATGTTCATATCTGCACCTGGGGAGACAATGTTAAACTTCGGATCAAAAACATCTATGCCATGGACAACACGGTACAGCCCTGGAAGAGTGAAAGCTGTGTGGCTTTCATATTGCCCGACATTATTCTTGCTGAGACAGGAGAAATGTGGAAAGTTAGTAACATGACAAGCAAAGGAGCTATCATTTTATTATAGTAACAAAGGTTCTAAAATGAAGGACTTCAGAAACCATGATGCTCCTAGTGAACAAAAAACATAATTGTACTAGACAAAAACAAATAAACTTCATGGTCAAAATCTGAGCTACTAGGACCTTTCAGGGGAATTGGCAGATTATCTATTTTAAGTTATTGAGATTGCCCCAGAAAGAGAAACGGCTATTACATTCCAAAATCAATAAAACTTCACTTACCTCCCAGCAATTTCTTGGTATGTGCTGGCAATTATAAAATCGGAATTGTTCATTGCAATAAGATCAGCAGTAAACTGACTAGCAAAATGGTACTTGTCCTCATATTTTCTCCAGTATATGTCAAAATCGGGATACTTTGTTTTCTTTAATGCATGTGCAATGTTGCACTACATGGAAATAGAATTAAAGAAGAAAATTAGGAGTAGACAAAACAGCTGTCCATAAATTCATCTTTTTTATTGAGATAGTAATGTTTAGAAAAATCAAAGAGAACCTGTGTGATTCCTAGTTTATATGATAACAAAGATGCAACAAGATTTCCATCACTGTAGTTGCCAATTATCAGATCTAGTACACACTGTAACTCTGATGCAGTTTCATTTGATGCATCCTAATAACAGTGGAAAGTAACCATGAATTTAGGAGTGTATATGCGTGCGCATCAATTTAGAGTATGCAGTTAAAAATTTGCTGATGTTTACCTCTGCAAAAGTTTCCAAGTACGGCCACATATCAAACCTCGAAATCCATTTACTTAGGAGACCATTTTCTGTTCTAAAAGGCACCCTCAGGATACGTGTATGTTCTGTTCCACTAATTCTTTCCAGCTTTTCGTTGCATGCTGTTCCTTTTGCATCAGGTATTAGTCTGGTAACCTTAAATCAGCATGCACTGAAAGATGCCATATCAGCAGCCATATGCCAAACTCAGCAAATGGAGAGGGGCAACATATAATATCAATCAATTTATCATATATTAGTTCCCGAATGGAAAAACGTCTTTGCTAAGCATATAAAGGGAAGTAAGAATGGTAATACAAGAGAATCACCGAGTAAATCGAGGATTAAGTAAACTTACTATGAGAATTTTTGGGATTGCATCTAGCCCTTGCTTTTGTATTCTGAGAAGCATTTCATTCTCTAATGCTCGCACTTGATCAAGTATATAGACGATCTGTGTTTGATAGGTAAAGAATGCTCAATTGGTCATGGAAAATATGTATATGTTTTATTGTCTATGATGGGAATGGAAGAAATTTCTAGCAGTTTGGATGCTAAATAATGAACAGTTGATACGAAACTTTAATTTTCCCATGTGGTTATAAACATCAAAGATTATCAAACAAATATACAATAACAGTGTCAGGCAAACC